TTCCCTTATAGTACCCATTTGTGAAATCTCATTAGAATGTAGAAAGCAGAGGGTCTTTCCATTTTCTCAAATTTAAGTGAACCTGAGTATGTAATTCAGAGCAAGATATTAATTACTTGGGAATCATACAAATATCTATTTTAGAAAAAAGAGATTATATTTCATAGTTAAAGAAACAGACGGTTATAGTAATATGGGGGACATAATCCTTATGTGGAACCCCAGCTGTGTAATCCTGAGCAAGTATCTTAACCTTTCTGAGTAGTAGTTATTTTGATGATTGAATGAAGTAACATGTGAAGTACCTGATAATTAGTGGGTCAACAACATGTGTTAATTCCCTTTTATTCCCTACTTTATCACTAAGGTAATTTCCTCCCTGGGATTTACTAAACAATAGTTACCTAGAGATCTAAAATTTACTACCAATTTGGCAGAAAGGACCTCAACAAAAAGAAATAAACAGTAACAAAAGATAAATGAGATATCTTTTCAGTGTTATTTTATTGATTCCAGAGGTGAGATTGCCAATATTTATTCAATAAATGAATATCATTACCTTGTACTGAGAAATGTGAATTACTAGATCAGTACACTTAGACATACATGTACATTATTATGAAAAAAAATAGGATCTTGGGTTAAGGCTAGGAAATAGAAAACAAATTACCTAACATGTAAGGACTAGAATATGATCATATTATCAAATTTTTGAGTCAAGAAATAAACTCATTCATTCAACAATTATTCCTTGTGTATTTAATAGTGTGCTTGTCTATGAAAGTATGAAGATGAGATTATTCTAGTCTCTTAAATCTGGGAACAAGCAAGTAGTGAGGCAAATGAAGGAAAGAGGACAGAGACCAATAGAACAGATGAAATTTTAAAAGCAGGAACAAACATAAATAGCTAAAGCAGAAGAAAATGAACATGTGTGAGTATTGATATGAATAATACTATACACTTAACTGCCTAATGGATTTGAAAACATAAACAAAAAGTCAATAGGTACTTAATTTTGAATTTGCTTTTAATCTGTATTGCCATGTAAATAAATGATCATATATGTGTCAGCATTGCTCATCTTGTTTCAATTACTCCAGCAGGCAATATATATTTCTTTTTTAGACAGTCAAACAGTAAGCCTAACAATTACACAACAATGACAATAAATCAGGGTCAGATGTCCTTTAAAAATACAAAATACAAATATTTGAGTATTATTAAAGTTGCTTTTTAAGAAAAAATTACATATTTTAGGCAAAATGTAATTTAGGGAAACCTGTTTCCTTCTATATCAAGTCTATGCTGAATTATTTGGCATACATTTTTACAACAATTTCTGAATGTAAATTTTCTTAGGGGAATAGCTGTCTAAAAATATTGAACAATTTTCATATCCTTACATTAGAAATATCTTTTTCCAGGTGTGAAATAGTTATATGCCCAAAAAAGTATAAGAATGGAAATTATTATAATTCAAATGAATTAAACCGTCAAAAATGAGAATAAATTAATTCTGTGTTTTTGGTATTTTATAGATGTGAAATATGCACAGAGTATTCTTCATTTTACTATGCTAGCTATAGAATTAGAGATTTGTACAAAAAAAGACTGACGTATCACCTTAACTTTATTCTTGATGTTCTTAGTGATGAAACCACCTTTTGATAAGAACCTTTCAACATATACACAAATGTTCAGGTGAGCTCTAGCAGCAGTTCACTCTTCTACAGAGTCTAGACATGCTAATTTTCCCACTTAGAAAACTATTCACCCAGTAACTTAAAACAAAGGGGGAAGGGGTCACTACAGAAATAGGTAGCAACTAGAGGATTCAGAACCAGAAATAAACAAGAACTAAATGAAAGGCAAGCACTGAAACAAAGGAAGGAACTAATTTGATATGGATTGTCTTTCTAGTCTACCATTACATGTTGTCTCCCCCCACCCTTTCCCTCTATGAGTGGGTGAGGGTATAACAGTGAGTTTTTGAAAACTTAATACTTTACAAAGACATTGTTCTCTTTGCCTATAATGAAGTTTAAGAATAACAATAAAGAACAGCAAAAAAAAAAAATCTAAGAGGGAAAGAAATGGGAGAACATCATTAAGGCAGAGACTATGCACTTAAGAGTTTCTCAGGTACTCATCATACTCATGACTAAACCGACTAAACCCTGATCATCACTATAGAATTTCTTCCTTTTTGAAAGTAATGTTGGAAAGAATGTAAATTGCAAAGGGATATTCTATGAAGGAGATTGTATATGGACTGCTCTATTTACTGGTTTATCCTGCTTCTTTACTATTTAAAATCAATTCAAAAATATTTTTACCCTTTTGCAAACCATTTTAGTTTAGAGACTGCACCATATGCCCTGGCTGCCCAGGCAGTGTACAGCAAAATGCTGAGCAATCATGTTGTGGATCTGATCCGTTCTGACAGCCAGCCCTGAAACGCAAGCCAGAAACCCCTGATCTTTCTTCCTCCCATAGCAGTTTGGGGACTGCTTTATATGACTAATTATATCAGATTTCTACTTCACCTGGGCAATGGCCTCACAAATCCTGGATGTGCAGATGACTTTCCTTATCAGCTTTAACATTTCAATGTGTTATCATTGTTTTATGACCTCTATCTCAGAATATATAATCTAAATAATGATGGACAAACATATTTAAATGATCTTTGAAATAATTTGGATTGCCTTATATTAAAATCAGAATGTTTCCTTTTATTGATTTTGTACCTTTTATTCACCTCATATAGAATATTTGATTAGGGAATCCTAATGCAAGTTAATGTTTGATAAACAGAAATTGGTTCAAGAATTTGCCTTCATTCATTGCTTGAAACATGTCCAACAATATCCTCATGATTTCCTTAGTGTTTTACCACAATGACAAAATAAATGTCTGGCATCCCCATTCACAGTCTATTTTTAATAGTAATATGTTACTGAAATTGAGATGCTTTGAAGAGGAAGACCATTGACATTATAGTGCCACAGCATCTCCAATACAAACTGAAAAACTACAGAGCCACAAGGGGGCATGCCATTTATTTGGGACAATCATGGGCTAAGACAATCTTTTTAAAAATTTCATAATATTCAATGAACAATTTTAACTTACAGATAAGTACATGTAGTAGAGAGGGATGAGATCTCAAAAGATGTACATAAATTAACTTTGGGGCAATCTATCTTTCACAGCATATTATAGGGTATTGCCAGCAGGTCACAGATGCACACCCTATGAGGAGCCTAAAAAGACATCTGTGAGGAGGGGAAAATGAAGTTTAAATTGTAATGTAGTAATAAATAGAAACACCCTTCAGATGACTGTTCCAAATATCTTTTAAAAGAAGGAAAAAATGTTCTATGTACATTTTCTTTTGCGATGACAAATTAATTATAAGTAAAATATTCTAGCTCACATATACTCAAGGAACAAGTAAACGAAGAGAGAAGGGACACTGAAATGAAGAGAGAAGAAAGAAAACAAGAGAGAGAGGACATGAGCCTATTACATTATGAAGATTAAGAGACATAATTTTAAATAGTAGCTTTATCTATAATTCATAACTCTTCTGATTTTGAATTAAAATTGAATTCAAATATGTTCATGCTAAATCTTATATATCACAAAAAATTCTTAGTCATTTTTTGTTTTCATTATAATTTCTATTACATCCACTGTCTAGTAAAGACATGAGCCAAGTCATGACCATTAACCATAAGGACATGTATCTCCTTGATTCCTGGCTCAGCGTCATTATTTAGCTGCCTTTGGATATTTGTTAAGATTCTTATAACCCAGGTCATACATATAAAATCAAAATTAAACAACATGTTTTAATATAAGTACTCAGGATATCCAAGTAACATCATATTCAACAATACCTTTTAAACTAAATCACTTGGAAAATTCACATAAAAGTTAAGCTTAGCCTTTAAAAATTTATTTTATGTCAATAATAACTTTAATAGCCACTGATTCCAAAATGTACAGTTTAGAATGGTGAGAAATAAAAGAATACAAAAAGAAACCATGACAAAGAAAATAATTCAGAAACCTTCCATCACATAGGTTGTTAAATACTTGCAGAAGACAGATATATTTCCTTGAGAAGCACTTTGAAAATTCACACTCTTTTCCTATGATCACAGAGTCTACGATTTCCCCATGCCATCATTTTAAATAATTAACTTTTATTTGCAAGCTAGATTTTAAAACTAAACAAGGTCCATGTTTTGCAATCATTTCCAATGATCTCTTAGTATGGGATAAATATTTGTGAAATAAATGAAAAATAAAAGTATTTTAATTTCTTACAGAAGAAATTTTCTTTCAAAGATAAAACTTGTTGCATGGTGGTATAACAAACAAATGGCTTTCTTCTGTGATTATTTCCAGTGTTATTTCTAACTTATTAACATGCACTCTGCCTGATTAAACTTGGTACAGTATTATCTCTTAATGACAGGGTCAGCCTCCTCATGGCTATACTAAAAGCATGGGCATGATTTCCTTCTTCTCTTAGCTTGCATTCTACGAGGTCGATACTTGGAAATACATCTCCATTTAATATAGGATTATTTAAAATCTTAAGGAATAAATTTGGTGTGAAAATGAAAACAAAATTTTCTCTTTCTTCTTTTTTTTCCTTTTGGGAATGGTTTTAGCATTCAAAAAAAGAAAAAAATAATAATAAGTGTCTAATAAATATATGAAGTAAAGTTAAAAGATATTGACATGAGAAACCTGAGAGGAAAAAAAACATAAAAAGAGTTAAAGAGATTAGCAAATCATTTTACAAAGTTCCTCATGTGTGTTTTAACCTGATGATCAATTCATTGTGTATATGATGAATTACAGATGAATAATAATTTAGTCTGAAGTACTGTATCTATGTGTGTGTGTGTGTGTGTGTGTGTGTGTGTGTGTGTGTGTGTATACATCACCTTAGAATGAGATTTCAAAAAATTACTAACCTTCTTTGGTACAATTGACTTGGGTTTCATCACTGAAGTCCCCACAGTCATTGTCACCATCACAGGCCCAATGGCCTGGGATACATCTGCCACTGGCACATCTGAACTGGTGATCAAAACAAGAGTAAACACAGCCTTCCTCATCACTCCCATCACCACAGTCATCATCTGGAAAAGAAGACACAACAGCAGGTAGTGAAAACAGATCCAGAAAGAAAAGCTTTGTTAGACCTAACTTTTACTTTCTGAATGGAATTTTGCTTTTGAAAAAGGAATGATGTTGAGTCAGTCATTAATCTGTACCACAAACAGCAAGAGAATTATTTTCATCTTTATGACAGTATTACTTCTCTTCTGTTATAACATCAACTGCTAAACTCAAAGAGGAAGAAAAATGATGGATTTTGAAGCATAATTTTCATTTTATTCAGAAATAACTAAGCATTAACTGAATATGAAGCACAAACCAAAGGGATATTTCATGAAATGATACAAAGAGTGATATAATTATTGTGTAAAGTCATTACTTAAGACTATAATCCTTATCCTGCAGGGTTCATAGCTGTGTTTCTACTCAGTTCCTTTCCATTCTCCAAAATGAGAACTTACATGCGCTTTCCCCCCACTACCTACTGTGCTTGTGTTTCTGCCTGGAAATTGCCATGTACTTCATTAGAAATTATTTATTTTCTCTATTAATAAACATTGCAAGAGGGAGGGGAGAGGGATATGAAAAGAATTAAATTAAACTGAATGGCTGAAAATTCATTGACTCATATTTAATTGATTTTTGTGTATTTGGAATAATTCAGCATAATGTATACAACTAAGTATAAGGAAAAAATACCACTTGTGCATTAAGAGCAAGGTGACAGTATTGAGACCATCTGGATAGATCCATAATAATTTATAGGATACTTCATCCTGAGGTCACGTATGATTTGGGAACCTGAATTTTCCAGGTTATGTTCTTAATTGTCTCCTTCACCTCATGTTGATCAATTTAGAATATATCCAATGTAATATCTGAAAATAATCTCTACAATAGTCTCGTGGGACAAATTCTGGGCTCCATTATTCTTAATGCTAATTCCCACTGATGCTCTCTAATCACTCATCTTAACCATTTTGCTTGATCTCCAAGCTTCTCTTACAAACCGTCTCTGAAGGAAGCCAGGCAACTGGGACCACCAGCTTCCAAGTAAATCAGTGGTGTACAATGAACATTTGGTACTTGCCAGAATCACAGTGCCATTTGCTGCTAATGCATCTTCCACTTTTGCATATAAATTGAGTTAGGGGCTCACAAGTTGGAAATTCTGTAAAAAAAACATAAAAGAATTCAATAGGAAACAGGTCATTGACTTTTTTTTTTTTTTTACTTAATTTGTGTCTTCTTAATGCAATCAGAACTCCTCTCCCATTCTTTACAAAGGCACAGATGAAAGAGTGGATAAACAATTATAGTGACTGTAACTTCCTCAGGACATAGGATGCACATCCTTTTAATATCTTTTAAATGAGTACTTTCCAGTACTGAAAGCCTAGGAGAATCATTTGATGGAGGATCATTTAGATTCATTATACTGCAGGATAAATGAATAGATGTCAACTCAGTGCATGAGAGTACTCAACCTTCTCTCAGTGAAAAATAGCAGATAAAAAGTGCTGCATGTTGGTGCTGCAAAGTAATGTGTTTATACCTCTTCAACTGACAAAAGTTTTTAATTGAGAAAATCCAAGTAGTACAGTCAGGTTTAACACTGACCTCTAAGAAATGTGACATCAATATTATAAGGTAAAAGTAAAAAAACCAAAAAAACAACTTACTAAAATCAACTACATAGACACTGTAAATGTGAATTCTGAGTGTAAAGAAAAAAGAAAAAAAACCTGAAAGAAGAATTAAATTTCAAAACAAATTTTTATACAATTACATCATAAGACTGATTACATTAATTAACATTTAGATAATTATAACAGTAAAAGTCATGGAATTATCATAAAATATTTTAAAGAGATAATTAGCCAATTTAAAGTATTCCTAAGTCTAAAGAAATTTAGACTAGTTTAAATTTCCATAATAAGATCTGATAATCAAGATCACTTTTAAAGAAAAGGTAATGTCGATCAGAGAAAAATATAATTACTGAACAGTGAATCTAAAACATTTGGAGTAATACTATTTCCCAGGAAAGAAATTTATTCTATTGAATATATGGAAAAAATTTTTACCTAAAATTTTGTAAATTGCTTGATACCAGACCTTTTAGCTTCCAGGAAAATAGGCATGAAATCATAATTTCTCATATACCTGAGCTCATTTATCAGATATTAAAAGAAAAGAAAAATAAATTCCATTATTTCATTGATATAAAGCCAGAAGAAAGTGATAAGAAATGCTATTCATCTGACAACTGAAGCCAATGATATTTTATGTGAAGTATTTTGTTTTTCTCTTTTAGGAACTGACTTATCACAATGATTCCACTATTATGTGCACAAATAAAATTTCAATCCACAAAAAGATTGAAATTTTATTTGTGCACATAATAGTGTATTAAAAACAAATTATCTTTTAATTTACAAAGTTTCAAATGATACTAACTTATGCTAATTTATAGCTACTGATATAAATATTATCGGGAGGCTTACTTCAAAAATAATGATATAATTGAAAAAGAAGATAGTGAACTTTGAATCATAGAATATATTTGATAGAAGAAAACAGACCATAAATATCTTCAAACTTTATTATGTAGACTGTCTCAGAGCTATCTAAAATAGCTGATGGCTGAGCAGGCTGGATTTAACTGCCCAAAATTCTTCAGGCACATCTATTCATTGCCTATCTATGAATCTATATATCTATTACCTACTATTTTTGTATGTATCTATCTACAGTTTTAAATTTTTTAAATGTTGAGCATAATTTGGAGAAAAATATATTTAAAAATGTATTTTTCAGGTTTAAAACCATAACAACCAATGATTATGTCCATCATTTTAGTCTCAAGGCAGTGAAACTCAGAATTAGGCCTGAGTAGTATGATAGATATCTCCTTATCAAAAAACAGTCCTAAGAATTCACATCTTCCAACTCTCCATCCACTTCTCTTTCTATATATTCTATTGCAAATTTCATTTGTCATTTGTTTGTGTGCCTAAACTATTTTACTCTATCCATATTTTGAGCATAAATTATAAGCAGTAAACATTTCTCATTGGTTATTTATCACTTCCTTACTATCAGAAATGTGTCTTTATCATTATTTTTGTATTTTGTTTACAAGTTTTGTATATACCAGATACTTTTTCATAACTTTACAATTCTGGACATTTTTATTATTTATAAGGTTTTGGATCTTTAAATTATAAAACACTATGAAATTTTTTTCGTGGGGGGGGGAACGGATACTAAGAGCCTAGTTACATCCTACCACTAAAGTACATCCCTAATCCTGTGTATTTTATATTAAGTCAGGGTCTCCCTAAATTGCCCAGGTTGGCCATGAACCTGTGATTTCCCCCTTGCTCAGCTTCTTGACTCCCTGAGGTTAAAGCATATGCCATTTCACCAAGCAATTTTATTTTTATAGTGTAGATTGTACCAAGATTGACACAATCATTTTTGTCATACATTTTTAGGCCTATCCTGATCATTTCTTTTTATGGGTTGGAGACTTCATATAGTGTTTCAGGAAGTGGTTCTGTTCAAAATCAGGTTATGTAACACTTTCCTAATACTTTAAAAAACAAGGCACATCAGTGATGAGATCATCAGGAAATACGAATTTTAAATGACATTCCTTCAAGCCCTCTAGAATGATTTGCATTTTCACCTTAAAAACTATGATTTTTTTGAGTTAAAAACATATTTAAATTATAGTTCTTCCAATTCACAAAACACTGAAATTAATATTTATTGGATATATAAAAAGAGGAGCAAATCACTTTTGCAAGATCAAATCAAGGAAATATCTTGGATAATATTCTTAAAGTAATAAATTAAAATCAGAGGTGTGAATATTTATACACATTCTTAAAGTAATGAAACAACAAGGCATATTTGGAGCCCTCAAGCAGACTGGAAAAAGAGAATTCCCTAGGATAACCAGCATTGATAGCAGTGAACAGACTTCAGATATAAGTGTCTAACTTATGCAGTTGATAAGTTTCTACTGCTTCACAAATAACATGACGGGAAAGTGATTGCTCATTCCAGGTTTAGTAGATATGACATCCTGGATTACCTGCTTTTTTTTATATCTTCAAAAAAGTAATTTCTTTGTGTAAGTTTGTATTAGAGTATATCCATCTAAAGTACTGATTTATGAATGGAAATGTTTCTAAAACTAAACAAATATTTATTGAGTTTTATGATGACCAAAGTAATGTCTTGATATATAAATTTTAAAATAAATTGAAATTTTTGAAAACCAGACAATGTCATCAGGACCAAAATATGATTTAAATGAAAAGGCAATAAGAATGTTCACTTTGATAATGAAGTAAAAGGGAGGCAAAGACTATATGAAAAGGTATCTACTTAGAAATCTAAAAAATACTCTGTTACAGAAGGAGATGTAGTGGAAAGACCAGTAAAAGGCCTAAGTCACAATTTAATCAATACTTTCAAGAATTATTTCTTTTAAGATAATGAGGACTTATACTTTTTTCAAGAGTCAAAAGAAATATTGTATAAAATATGGCTTTTCTTAGATTAAATAATAAGTGTTTAGTGTTTAGAAGCTTTACTGTGGCATGAATTAGGAAATTTGAACAAGATATCAGGTTATGACTCAAATAAGTAAGCAACAAAATGCAGACTTACAACATGATGAGATACATTTTTTTTAAAAAAAAGTAATGTTATTATATCTTTGGAGGTTTATAATGCATTAATTCACATTTTTTTAATCTAGGCATATCAAGCAGCATCAAAAGTTCTACTAGAGAAAATAAATCATCCTAAGCATCTAGAAACTTCTGAAACTTGGTGAAACTTCACTGGCTGAGAAAATTTTCATGTTAACTTTAAGATTGTTTATAACTGTTAGATTCTAACTCTAAAAATCAGCCAAAAACATAAACTGAGAATTAACTTTCAATAGGTAAAAAATTCTCAGGATGAAAAAAAAAGAATCTTGAATGCAAAAAACCTTTAATACATCTCTTAGAAGAAACATACCTTTTGTTGCATGTACATAATACAAATGTGTTATTAAACAACTATACATCATATCTCATTACTTTTTCATGATACTTAAATTACACAATTTCTCTTCTCAACTTTATATTCTCATCTAGCTTTAAGGACCTACATGCAAATTAGTATGTAGAAAAAAAATGGGAAGAAGAGAAAAGGAGAGTGTAAATTACCAAAAAGAATGAAGATATTATATAAAAGGAAACATGTAAAAGAATCAAGTTATAAATGTTTCACTCTGATTTCATTCTCAAAATAATGTAACCTTGGGTAAATCATTTATGCTTTCTAGTCACATACTCTTGATTTAAAATATGACCTTTGAAGTCCTAAAGCTAAAGAAGAAGAAACACCATCTAAAGATGCACAATATCCTGAAAACATTTAATGTAGCAAAGTATAAGGTTCACCACCTTAAATAACATCTGGGTTATCACAGCATTAAAAGAAAGCACAGTAACTGAATTTCAGAAATGGGAAAATACAAAAATGTAAAAAAAAATGTCTTGGACTTTTCTCTACTTAATAGTATAATCAAATGTATGAAGAACTATGTTAAAAATTTTTAAGTGAAATATAGGGTCATTCATTCTCTCACTAATGTAGAAAAATACCCTCTTCATAAGTCCTTATTATCCTACTGAGAGTCTAGTGATGATAGGGAAGCGAAGTATCTATCATACATGTTTTCTTCTAAAATAAAACAAAATTAAAGCACCTTCAAAGAAATTTAATAATTTTCATGTCTTTTCATTTAAAAGTTGAAAATAGTATTTGAATATTCCAGTTGGTTGCTAGTTACATGCCCTGTTAAGATATAATTGTGAGTTTCATATATAACGAAGGTTTAAATATTGCATGTAGTTTTATCCTTCTTGACTTTGCACAAATATTCTTTGACTTTAAATCTTCTTTGAACATAAATTGCAGAACACTTGGAAAGATTAACTGATTAATTCTGAAGAAGAAAAAAATTATGAACAAAGAAGGCTTACATTTTATCATGTTACAATTACAGTGAGAAAAGAAAACTATATTTTACTTTAGCAGTTACTTCAACTTCATAAAATATTTAATATGGATTAATGGACTGTTAAAAACATTTTATTA